GAAATCAGTGAATGTGCGGTTTAAAGAAAACTACATCCAATATTAATCGATAAAGGAATTCGAAATGTTTTTTGATAATTTCAAAAAAAAAAAAAAAAAATATCTTCGTAAAATCCAATTTCAGAACATCCTTATTAAGATTGAAAATTTAAAGAAATTTCATTAAAAATTTCAGAATCTCCTAATGAGTTTTAAGACATTTAAGTTTAAAAATATTACGTTTTCAATATTCTTTCAAAATTTGCTCCACATCCACCGATCCGTTCAAAAGTTAAAATATAAAATTTTGACTTTAAATGTTTTAGGCCGGAGGCGTCGAAATCTCAGATGGATAAAGTTACCCATACAAAATTTAAGTTGTATTTTAGAAACTTAGGGGGCTATTTTGGACATTTCCTTCCCCTCACTTCATTATAATCGTCACTTTCGTGATTATTTTCCTGCCAAATAAAGTTTATATATTCTGAATCCTTATTAAAAGCGGTGTCGATTAAGCTTTGTCCGTCTATCCATCTATATGTTAACAATTTTCTGAAGATCCCAAATATCTTTGGGATCCAGATCCAAAGAAGATCGCTATTGAAAATCAACAAAATTGGTCCATAAATAATGGAGATGTGAACAAAAATCCGAGGCAACGTCAGAAAATTTATAAAACCTTAACATGGATGCTAATGAAAGTCATTCTGCATGATGTTAGTCCGATTAGGGAGAAAGAACGTCATAGCTATTAATTGAAATAAAATTTTTATTTGTTGTTGGTGGCATATGTATGGCAAGCAGTATTTTAATTGATTCTACGAATTTCGTAATTAAAACTTGTTTTTTATAATTCCAAGAATACCAGTCCATTTAATTATAAGTAGAATCAAACAAAATGATATAAATAATATATAAAAATCGGGTATTTTGAACTTCTTTAATTTAAGAAAATAACAATAATACATAAATTATAAAATTTTTTAAATAATTCAGAATTTTTAAAAACAATATGATCCATAACTTGTTTTTTATAACTCTCCAGCCGATTTCCGTTATGAAGGCATTATTTTGGTTAAGAAAAACTCCAACATTCATACACTTAAAGAATTGAGAGGTGCCAAATCTTGCCACACTGGTTTTGGACGTAATGTTGGTTTCAAGATTCCCGTCACCAAATTGAAGAACTCTCACATTTTGAAAGTCTCCATGGATCCTGAATTGACTGCTACCGAACGTGAACTTAAGGCATTATCCGAATTCTTTACACAATCCTGTTTGGTAGGCACTTATTCACCATATCCCGAAACTGATCGCATGCTGAGTAAGTTATAAGATTTGTTAGAATCTCCTCTCTTATTTTTCAAGTCTCTCTATATATTTTGTTTTATTTGCTTTCCTGTAGAGAAGAAATACTCAAACTTGTGTGCTCTCTGTGAGAAACCCGAACAATGTAATTATCCCGATAAATTCTCCGGCTATGATGGTGCTATTCGTTGTTTGGACAAGGGCAAGGGTGAAGTGGCCTTTACTAAAGTGCAATTCATTAAGAAATACTTTGGTGTAAGTATTTATTAAATATCAAAATAGAGAAAATCGGAATATAATATTGTAATTTGGAAGTTAATTTTAAAAAATTTATAAACAATTTTAGATGATTCCTGGTACTACTGCTGAAGGTGATCCCTCTGAATTCGAATACCTCTGTGAAGATGGCTCCAGACGTCCCATTACCGGACCAGCTTGCTCCTGGGCTCAACGTCCCTGGACTGGTTATATTTCCAATGTTGATGCTGTCAGTGGTGATGAAAAATTACACAATTTGCAACATCGTCTAGAGAAATTCTTTGAAAATGGTTTACATGCTGAAAACAAGGAAGCCGCTGCTCATTTGCTTATCAATGAAAATGCCGTTTATCACAGCAAACCCAAGGCTGTAGATCCTAAGGAATATTTGGAAAAGGCCGGTTACAAGGATGTTATTGAACGTGATGGTTCCGCTATCAGAAAAATGAAGTGAGTAGGAAATTTATTTAAAAAGAAAACATCAATATTGATTTACTATTCTTTCCTCAGAATGTGTGCCCAAACTGATGCTGAAATGAAGAAATGTGATACCATGAGCCGTGCTGCTTACTCTCGTGACATTCGTCCAGAAATCGAATGTGTACAAGAAAAGGATTGCATTATTGCTGTTAAGGAAGGCAAGGCCGATATGGTAGCTGTACATGCCACCAACTATAAAGAAGCCAGAGAAGATAAACTCAAGCCCATTGTCTATGAAAGCTATGGACCCAATAATGTCTATGTAGCTGTAGTAGAAACTTCTCTCACCAAGGACAATATACAAAATATGCCCATGTAAGTTAATAAACAAACAAATTCACATCAACAAAAACTTATTTATTTTGTACGCTACCTTCCTTTAGTCACTACAATGGTCAAGATCAAAGAGCTGAAAAGGCTGCTGCCTATCTCAACAAACTACGTGGCATTAACACCTGTCAAACTACTCCTTCTTCCGAAAAGAACATTATGATTGTTAATTCCAAGGAATTGGAACAACACAAAAACAAACAATTGTTGTGCAGCAATTTGGACAAGAAACCTGTCACCGAATGGGAAACCTGCAATTTGGAAGCCAATCTACCAGTAGCCGTTTTCATTAGAGACTCTATGACTCCCGTCGAACAGGAAACCATGAAACATTTATTCTTATCGCTATCGGAGAAATTCGGTAAAACTGGTAAATTAGCTGATGTTTTCACTTTATTCGGTGAATATAAGGAAAATGCTAAGAATGTTTTGTTCGATGATGATGCCGTTGAATTCGTTACCGAATTGAAAAATCCCAATACTAATGAACAGACTTATAACAGTTTAAAATGTGATACAAATAGCATTAAAAAGAACTAATTTTTATTAAATATGTTATAACAACATATTTTGTAATAATTTAAAATTATATTTTTTATGCACATGTTTTTTATTTACTTTAAAGTTTAGATTTTAATAATAAATAAAAAAAGAACATTGTAAAAAAAAACGTTTTGGAAATGTAATTCTTTAAAGTTATAACAAATCGTTATGAAGATTTCAACATAATAGATGTTATTTCCAAGATATCAATTTTTTTTATATTATCGAAAAAGACACTCTTTGAAAGAAATGTCATTTCGTCTTTAATTTGATAGCCCCGTTGTTGTTGTAAAATCTAAAACTATACAATAAACTAGTTGGGGGTTCCACATCAATGACCAAGCTTAAAAATTGTGCTACTTCAACCGGATGTGTTAATCCATTTGACAAAGAAAGTAGGGTTGGCTGAGCAGTTGAATATGTGGTGGGTATCGTGCGGGCCTTGACCACATGCAGGTACTCACGTAAAGCACTTCGGCATTCATGTTCTCCTCGTGGGTGTATCCAACAGTGTCATATTGACTCCTCCGGTGACATCCCAGGAGGAACAACATGACATTGTGTTACTTGACTGGGAGGACCTTCGTTTCCTCGTAGTACTAGTCGGTAGGGTTCTATAAATCGACTTTCGAATAATCGACTTCGACTTTTCGACTATTTTGTTCCAAAAAAGTCGATAACTCGACTATCGTCTGTGAAAAAAGTCGAAAAGTCGACTTTGTGAATAAAAGTCAAAAAAGCCGAAAAGTCTGAAAGTCGAAAAGTCGAAAAAAGTCGATAAGTCGATAAGTCGAAAAAAGTCGAATAAAGTCGAAAAAAGTCGAAGAAAGTCGAAAAGTCGTAAAAAGTCGAAAAGTCGAAAAAAGTCGGAAAAAGTCGAAAAAAGTCGTAAAAAGTCGAAAAGTCGAAAAAAGTCGGAAAAAGTCGAAGTCGAAAAGTCGACTTTTAACTAAATGAAAAAAGTCGAAAAGTCGACTTTTCGTTTCAACTGTAGAACCCTACTAGTCGGTATCATTTTAAGATATTCGCGTTTGAAAATTCAATTTACAACTCTTTTACCCACCCTAGTCCATATACATATGTATATAATGACGAACAACGACCAAGAATTGTCAACTCAGCAACACTGACTTCACACTTAAGTAGTAGGGTTCTATAAATCGACTTTCGAATAATCGAACAATCGACTTTTTGTCGAAAAGTCGAAGTCGACTATTTTGTTCCAAAAAAGTCGATAACTCGACTATCGTCTATGAAAAAAGTCGAAAAGTCGACTTTGTAAATAAAAGTCGAAAAAAGTCGAAAAGTCGAAAAAAGTCGATAAGTCGAAAAAAGTCGAAAAGTCGAAAAAAGTCGAAAAGTCGAAAAAAGTCGATAAGTCGAAAAGTCGGAAAAAGTCGAAAATAGTCGAAAATTTTAAAAAAGTGGAAAAGAGGTCAAAAACTCTAAAATAGTCGGAAAAACTCGAAAAAAGTAAAAAAATAGTCGAAAAAAGTCGAAAAAAAGTCGAAATAAGTCGAAAATAGTCAAAAAGTCGTAAAAAGTCGTAAAAAATCGAAAAGTCGAAAAAGTCGAAAAGTCGAAAAAAGTCGGAAAAAGTCGAAAAGTCGAAAAAAGTCGAAAAAAGTCGAAAAGTCGAAAAAAGTCGAAAAAAGTCGGAAAAAGTCGGAAAAAGTCGAAAAGTCGACCATTTATATAATACTAAAAGTCGAAAAGTCTAAAAGTCGACTTTTAAATGAATGAAAAAGGTCGAAAAGTCGAAAAATCGACTTTTCATAAAATGGAAAAAGTCGAAAGGTCGAAAAGTCGACTTTTAACTAAATGCAAAAAGTCGAAAAGTCGACTTTTCGTTTCAACTATAGAACCCTATTAAGTAGTTCTTTAAAGTTTCGTACTTTCCCTATATTAAAGAATCGACAAATGCTGCATGAGTTCCATTGTTTAGAGGATTTTTTTCTAATATGAAGATGATTGACGATGTTTTAGATAAACTTTTAATTCAAAAATAGTTTATCGAGGTTTCTTGCAAACGATTTAAAAACTCTACTAATGTGAATCTCCTGATCTAAGAACTATTAAAAAAAAAACACTTATCCACCATATTTGTTTATATAATTTTAAATATACCTTTTTTTATTAGTTATTAAATGTCAAGCTCTACATGTGTAAAAGTTATCAACGATTTCTTTTTGTTTCTTTTTTTTTTTTTTTTGGTTTTTAATTTTAAGATAAAACCTAAAAAATTAACATAAATTAAAAAAGATAAAACAATACAAAAAAAGTTCTAATAAAATAAAAAAGTATATATATAGTACATAGATATAGTAGATACATATAACATACATATAGTAATAATAAAATCGTTAATAAAACATTAAAATCTTTTCAGTTTCAAAAAAATTCCTAATAAACATGGTTATATAACATGGGTAATTAATAATTATTTTGTTGGTTGTTTTTGGAAAATAAATGAAGCTGGTTCAACCAGCTAAACTTTTTAATCCCTTTGCAATTTGCAAAAGACTTGCTTGTGAATTAATTTTTGGTTTCTTCTGGCTCGACATCTTGGCCATTTTCACCGTCACTTTTGTTATTGGGATCGGATTCTTCTTCTGAATAATCTTCATCGTGGGTATGGGTAACCGTACGTGGTGTACTGGGGCGGGTATGAGGCACAGTAACGGGCTAAAATTTAAAAGGAAATAGTTAAGTACTTTATTTTCCAAAACATAAAGTTTATTTTACTCACCTTTTCTTCTGCTTCAACTTTACTGGCTACATCTGTTTGTGCTGCCTTAGCTGCCGCTACATATTCCGTAATTTTGCTTTCAGTCAACGAGCTGTTACTGGTTGCAACTGTTGTATTCGATTCAGCTTTACCTCTGCCTCTCTGTATCATGGGAGTTTCTATTTGGAATCTTTGCTCATGAGCCACTGTCGATTCGTGAGGTAAGAGCATGGCCGGTGCACGGAACATATAGGAGAATGGATAATAAATGAAATTCAAGAAAGTGGCAGCATATAAATCAGCATATCTGACCACTTGACTGGAGAAGAATGTCTGTCTAGAACCGGAACGGAATAGCGAACCCATCATACCATAAGCCATGTCCATTTTATGGGTAACATCGCGTATGGAAGCGCGCAATTTGGAAATGTCGGGTTTTTCTTTAGTGCTCGAATCGAGATTTCTGCAAGCGTAAGCAAATGATATTAATAAACGATCAAATTAAAGATTCATATTTGTAGCCAGAAACGGTATCCTTAACACTTACTTATACATTTCACCTAATTGACAATCCAATTGCTGTAATTCAGCGAAAAATTGACACTTATCAGTCCACACATGTAATTCCTGCACCAATTCAGGCACCACCAAAAATGTACGCCAACCACGAATCTTTTTCGACTTCAATATATCACCAAAGATATGATCACCAATATATAAAACATCTTTACCCTTGGCATTAATGAAATTCGTAAAAACCTCACAAGAACCACCCGAATAAACTTGTCCCGGTTGTAAGGGACCAATGTGGGTACCAATTTTCAAAGCTCCCGTTTCAGTATCAACCTGACGCAAAATAGTACCTTCGCCAAAGAACAAAGGTTTGCGGGCATCCACTACAATAACATCGAAATAAGTTTTCCAATCACGATGAGGTTCTTCGGGCTTAGCGCCATGTGGAAAATCGAAAATGTAATTCATAATTTTATTGGTGAAATTGTAATCGCTGTTGGTGAGTAAGAAAACTTTGGCGCCCGATTCGCGTATGCGTGCCAAGACCATGGGTAGACGTGGATCTTTTTTGACATAGTAATCGAGGTTCTGTAAAGTAAAAATTGTTTATGGAAAGTGATTGGAACAATTGAATTCGTTTAAAACTTACCTCTACAGTTCGTTTCTTTAAATCACCCTGTATGTGAACCCAGTCTACAGCACGGCGAACATCTTGGAATATGGAATTGAAAGACATAAATAATTCACCAGCTTTAACACCAGTGCGATCTCTGTGGAAAGAATAAATAATTTTAGATATTAAAGAATTTTTCTTTGAATAATATAAATAAGACAATAGAGAAGTATAAAGCCAAATCAGGCAGACAGATAAACGGATATAGCTTAATCGTCGGATCCTTCTACTTCTCAGGAAGGGTATACAAATTATACACACTTTTATATTCTACATGAACATAGTTTTTAGGAAATTAAAATTATTAAAAAAAATCCCTAAAAATGTTCACAAATTTCAAATGCTTAACAATAAACAATCAACTAAAATGTTATTACTTTGCTGTAGAAAGGCTTTTCTAAATTCTATAGATGGGTATTACAAAAACAATAACTTTTAAAAGAGAATTGTTTTATAATTTTTCAAAGACGCTTGTGTTTCAACATTATTGTTAAAAGTATTTGTTAACAGAATAATATAAAAACAAAAGATACTTCGCGCAATAACAATAAAAATGTAATAATGAATTATTATGTTGTCTTAAAAAACAAAGAAAGTGTCTTAAAAAGAAAACAAAAGACTTTGTTATAAAAGAAAATGAATACAGAAACAACAGGCTCTTAAATACTTATTAAAGAATTCGCTAATTAAATGTTTATTATTTAATTTTATGTTTACCCGTTAAGAAATTGCTATTACCAAAACTGCTGTCATTTAATGATTTCCAAACTTATTGGCATAATTTAAGTGTTAAGTATTAAAAAAAATATAATTAAATTTTTACAGGATGTTTTAAACTTAAGAAATGTATTTCCTAGAAATTAACCCAAAATTTATTAAGACCGTTTTTTGCGGGAATAAATTTTATAATAAAGCGCCTTATGCTTTATTAATATAAAATAAATACATTACGTTCTTTGTAAAGCTTAAAAAATCATTGACCATAATAATTGTCTTGTATACATAACTTTGGATTCTATTAGAAATACCTATAAATTTCCTATGAAATTAACAATGGACAAGAAATGAAGCAAACAAACAAAAAGTATCACTAACATGTTACTTTATTAGACTTATAAATAAGCTTAAGATCTAAGGAAATAAATCAGTTTAAGATTGAATTTAAACTTATTTATTATTTCTTTTCTATTGACCTTTCAACTTTTATTGTTATACACCTTAATAGCAAATGAAAGCAAAATTTTTTGTTTATTCTGAAATTTGTATTGTTTACGCTATATATTGCGGTCATATGTTGTTTAAGGAAAAGGGGAAAAGGAAATAAATGTCGAAAAGAAAGAGAAACAAAATAATCGGCCCAAAGCCGAAAAAGAAAACTCTATCTAGACTATAAAATAGACTATAGACTAGACTGTAGACTAGACTATAGACTAGACTATAAACTGGACTATAAAATAGACTATAGAATAGAATAAAGAATATACTATAGAATATACTAGACTACAGACTATCCAGTAGACTAGCCTATAGATTAGATTATAGACTACACTATTGACCATTTACTAGACTATATACTAGACTATAGACTAAACTGTAAACTAGACCATATACTAGACTATATACTAAACTAATAAAGACTTTAAACTAGACTATATACAAGACTATAGACTAGATAATAGTCACGACTATATACTAGACTATAGAATAAACTGTAGACTAGACTATAGACTAGAGTATAGACTAGACTATAGAATAGACTGTAGACTAGACTATAGACTAGACTATAGACTAGACTATAGACTAGACTATAGACTAGACTATAGACTAGACTATAGACTAGACTATAGACTAGACTATAGACTAGACTAGACTATAGACTAGACTATAGACTAGACTATAGACTAGACTATATATAGACTAGACTATAGACTAGACTATAGACTAGACTATAGACTAGACTATAGACTAGACTATAGACTAGACTATAGACTAGACTATAGACTAGACTATAGACTAGACTATAGACTAGACTATAGACTAGACTATAGACTAGACTATAGACTAGACTATAGACTAGACTATAGACTAGACTATAGACTAGACTATAGACTAGACTATAGACTAGACTATAGACTAGACTATAGACTAGACTATAGACTAGACTATAGACTAGACTATAGACTAGACTATAGACTAGACTATAGACTAGACTATAGACTAGACTATACTAGACTATAGACTAGACTATAGACTAGACTATAGACTAGACTATAGACTAGACTATAGACTAGACTATAGACTAGACTATAGACTAGACTATAGACTAGACTATAGACTAGACTATAGACTAGACTATAGACTAGACTATAGACTAGACTATAGACTAGACTATAGACTAGACTATAGACTAGACTATAGACTAGACTATAGACTAGACTATAGACTAGACTATAGACTAGACTATAGACCTAGACTATAGACTAGACTATAGACTACTATAGACTAGACTATAGACTAGACTATAGACTAGACTATAGACTAGACTATAGACTAACTATAGACTAGACTATAGACTAGACTATAGACTAGACTATAGACTAGACTATAGACTAGACTATAGACTAGACTATAGACTAGACTATAGACTAGACTATAGACTAGACTATAGACTAGACTATAGACTAGACTATAGACTAGACTATAGACTAGACTATAGACTAGACTATAGACTAGACTATAGACTAGACTATAGACTAGACTATAGACTAGACTATAGACTAGACTATAGACTAGACTATAGACTAGACTATAGACTAGACTATAGACTAGACTATAGACTAGACTATAGACTAGACTATAGACTAGACTATAGACTAGACTATAGACTAGACTATAGACTAGACTATAGACTAGACTATAGACTAGACTATAGACTAGGCTATAGACTAGGCTATAGACTAGGCTATAGACTAGACTATAGACTAGACTATAGACTAGACTATAGACTAGACTATAGACTAGACTATAGACTAGACTATAGACTAGACTATAGACTAGACTATATACTAGACTATAGACTAGACTATAGACTAGACTATAGACTAGACTATAGACTAGACTATATACTAGACTATAGACTAGACCATAGACTAGACCATAGACTAGACCATAGACTAGGCTATAGACCAGGCTATAGACCAGGCTATAGACTAGACTATAGACTAGGCTATAGACTAGACTATAGACTAGGCAATAGACTAGACACAAGCGCTCATTGATAGTCTCTAAATTTTCCGCTAAAACGCAAATTTTCCTCGCAATTGCTATCAAAAACCGCAGATTTGACAGGAAAAATGTCAAAATGCCAACACTTCTTATCTAACTTCTCATACATATATATTGCTTTTGTAATCTCAAAATTTTAGTGGGGTTAAAAGCAGACCTGGGCGATTTCCATTAATTTTGCATTAACATTAAATTAAAAAAAAATTAATTTAATGTAAAAAATATTGCATTAACATTAAATTAAAAAAAAAATTAATTTAATGTAAAAAATATTGCATTAACATTAAATTTTTAAAATTTAATGCATTAAATTTCCATTAACATTAAATATTTTTGAATTTAATGCATTAATTTTACATTAACATTAAATATTTTTGAAATTAATGCATTAATTTTGCATTAACATTAAATATATCTGAATTTAGTGCATTAGTTTTACATTAACATTAAATAAGCAATAAAATTAATACATTAACATTCCATTAACATCTATATATATAAAAATGAATGTGTGTTTGTTTGTATGTTTGTATGTTTGAACGTTATAGACTACTAAACGGCTGAACCGATTTTCTTGAAATTTTCACAGCATATTCCTGCATGTCTGGAATAGGTAATAGGCTACTTTTTATTTCGAAATTTCAAGTGGGCGATGAGCCACGCCCACATTAAGAAAATATAAAATCCGTATATTTTAGATAATATAACAGTTAGAGTCCTCAAATTTTGTCGGAGCCACTTTAGTGTCAATATGATCATTTAGGACAAAAAGTAGGCGGACTAGCATTAGGGGGCGTGGTACCTCCCATATAAATTAAATACAAAAATTCGTTTATCTGGGAAACTAATAGAACTAAATTCTTAAAATTTAGCACGAAGAACTTTAACATCCGTATAAACATTTTGGGTAATAAATTGGCGGACTACCCATGAGGGGAGCGGCACCTCCCATATTAATTAAATACAAAAATTCGTTTATCTGGGAAACTAATAGAACTAAATTCTTAAAATTTTGCACAAAGAACTTTAACATCCATATAAACATTTTGGGTAAAAAATTGGCGGACTACCCATGAGGGGAGCGGCACCTCCCATATTAATTAAAAACAAAAATTTGTTTATCTGGGAAACTAATAGAACTAAATTCTTAAAATTTTGCACGAAGAACTTTAACATTCATCTGAACATTTTTAAGGAAAAAAGAGCGGACTTTCATCTAGGGGGGCTTGGAGCCCCCATATGAATAAAATAGAAAAATTCGTATATCTGAGAAACAATTAGAGCTAGAATCATTAAATTTTACTTGAAGAACTTTGACATTCACCTGAACATTTAGAATATAACGGGCGGACTTCCAATGGGTTACTTGGTACCTCCCATATGAATTAAATACAAAATTTCGTTTATCTGGGAAACTAATAGAACTAGATTCTTCAAATTTTGAACAAATTATTTTAATAATCATCTGAATATTTTGGAGGAAAAAGGGCGGACTTTCATCCGGGGGGCTTGAAGCCCCCACATGAATTAAATTCGTATATCTGAGAAACTATTAGAGCTAGAATCTTAAAATTTTACATGAAGAACTTTGACATTCATGTGAACATTTAGAGAATAACGGGCGGACTTTCAATGGGGGGCTTGGCACCACATATATGAATTAAATACAAAATTTCGTGCATCTTGGAAACTCTTGTATTATTCAAATTTTTTGTAGATAGATAGAAATTGGCGATAGATAGAAACTGGCGAACTTGCAATAATTTGCTTGACATCTTTTATATGTAACATATAATAAATCTGGTATTTATTTATACATATTCCTTTTAGGGTAGCAAAGCACACTGGGTATAGCTAGTTAATATATATAAAAATTGATAAACATAAATAAAAATACAGCTCAAAAGACCTCGATCTAACTAAACAACTAAAATTAAATAGGTTAAAGTCCTTTCTAATAACTTGTGTGTTTTAAATATGATATTTATATAAGATTCCACAGACAAAATATTATGATATTATTCTTCTAATATGTATTATCGAGTATAGGACTTATTAGAAAGGACTTTAACAAAATAAACTAAAAATGGAATATCTGGGAAGTGATACTATTCTTCTAATATGTATTATCGAGTATAGGACTTATTAGAAAGGACTTTAACACATTCAATTTTACTTGAATTTAGTTAGACCGAGGTCTTTAGCGCTGTATTCTTATTTTTATAAATTATTTTATACATTAATGTTAATGGAAAATTAATGCATTAATTTTATTATTTATTATTTAATGTTAAAGGAAAATGAATGCATTAATTTCACAAATATTTAATGTTAATGTAAAATTAATGCATTAAATTTAAAATTATTTAATGTTAATGCAAATTAAATGTATTAAATGTTAATGTTAATGCAATAAACTTGCATTAACATTAATTTTTTTTAATGTAGAAAAAATTGTTAATGCATTAACACATTTAATGCATTTATCCCAGGTCTGGTTAAAAGCAACAAATTTAATAAATCATTTAAAATTTAAACTTACTCTGTGTACACCGAACTATTTGTAAAGAAATCCACTAAACAGGCCAGTAAATAAGTTTCAGGTAAATTGAAAAGAGTATTCAAAACATAAACACGTGATTCATCTAATTTTAAAAACTTATTTGGATACAACTCATAAACTTGAGAACTGCAATAAAAAACAAATTAAAAATGAATGTTATTTATAATATAAAGAGAAAATTCCCATAACAAACTTACTGTTTAAGAAATTCAAAACCATGACAACAAACTAAAATATTGCCATAAGCATCGACTTTCAAGAGATTGCCGTATAAAGTATCAAACCAAAGACCACGTATGGGAAATGAGGGATCATATTCGAATTGCATGATTTCTTTGGGATAGCCCATGCTAACCAAACGTTCTTTGACCAAATCGAAACCCAATTGTTCATACTGGGGAGATTTATATTCTATAAAAAGAATTTTTGATTTTACAAACATTTAATTAAATAGTTTATTATCTGCATAACTTACCAGCCAAAGTATAATCCATATCGAAGCCATAGAATTTAATATTTTCCAAATGTAACGAACGATTAACAAAGATTCTGTAATTAAAAAGACGGAAAAAATTTAATTAACATCATTGCATAGTTTAAGGCTGTTTGTTTAATATAATTATAATTTAATATTTTGTTTTATTTGAAAGCCTATTTTAAGTTGTTTTGTTTAAACAAATCTTGTATTTGATTAACTTTTAATGATTAAAATTTGATTTTTGCATTATCTCTTAAATAACTAAGACGTCAATTTATTGTCTAGTGTTAATGAAATGTATGGATACGACGTGTGATTTTGTTTGTTTTGTTTATTGTAATCAGTAGTGTATATTTTTTTCTAAAAGGTTAATTAGTTTATCAGTTTAAAAAAACAAAATAATATTAAATTTGCAATATTTTGTAAATTCACTAAAGTTTATTAATTAGTTTTATAGAAAGTTTTTACACATAGATTTGGATCTTAGTGAAATAAGGAAAAAATGTCATTAAGAAATAATTCTAACATAAGAATAGAAAAGAATAAGAAAAATAAAAATTTGAACAAAAATTTAGAATTACTAGTTTTAGAACGGATGCCGAAAGTACAACAATTAAAACTAGTAATGTCGCCATTACTCATGGCACCCATTTCATAAGGCAGTAGACTATAGACTAGACTATAGGGGAGATATTAGACTAGATTATAAAGTAGACTATAGACTAGATTATAGTCTATTCTATGGACTAGACTATATAACAGTTTATAAAATAGATACTAGAATAAACTATAGACTAGACTATAGACTAGATTATAGACTAGATTATAGTCTAGACTATCAGCTAGACTATAGACTAGACCATATACTAGACTAAAGACTAGACCATAGACTAGGCTATAGACTAGACTATAGACTAGACTATAGACTAGACTATAGACTAGACTATAGACTAGACTATAGACTAGACTATAGACTAGACTATAGACTAGACTATAGACTAGACTATAGACTAGACTATAGACTAGACTATAGACTAGACTATAGACTAGATTATAGACTAGACTATAGACTAGACTATAGACTAGACTATAGACTGACTATAGACTAGACTATAGACTAGACTATAGACTAGACTATAGACTAGACTATAGACTAGACTATAGACTAGACTATAGACTAGACTATAGACTAGACTATAGACTAGACTATAGACTAGACTATAGACTAGACTATAGACTAGACTATAGACTAGACTATAGACTAGACTATAGACTAGACTATAGACTAGACTATAGACTAGACTATAGACTAGACTATAGACTAGACTATAGACTAGACTATAGACTAGACTATAGACTAGACTATAGACTAGACTATAGACTAGACTATAGACTAGACTATAGACTAGACTATAGACTAGACTATAGACTAGACTATAGACTAGACTATAGACTAGACTAGACTAGACTATAGACTAGACTATAGACTAGACTATAGACTAGACTATAGACTAGACTATAGACTAGACTATAGACTAGACTATAGACTAGACTATAGACTAGACTATAGACTAGACTATAGACTAGACTATAGACTAGACTATAGACTAGATTATAGACTAGATTATAGACTAGACTATAGACTAGACTATAGACTAGACTATAGACTAGACTACAGACTAGACTATAGACTAGACTATAGACTAGACTATAGACTAGACTATAGACTAGACTATAGACTAGACTATAGACTAGACTATAGACTAGACTATAGACTAGACTATAGACTAGACTATAGACTAGACTATAGACTAGACTATAGACTAGACTATAGACTAGACTAGACTAGACTAGACTATAGACTAGACTATAGACTAGACTATAGACTAGACTATAGACTAGACTATAGACTAGACTATAGACTAGACTATAGACTAGACTATAGACTAGACTATAGACTAGACTATAGACTAGACTATAGACTAGACTATAGACTAGACTATAGACTAGACTATAGACTAGACTATAGACTAGACTATAGACTAGACTATAGACTAGACTATAGACTAGACTATAGACTAGACTATAGACTAGACTATAGACTAGACTATAGACTAGACTATAGACTAGACTATAGACTAGACTATAGACTAGACTATAGACTAGACTATAGACTAGACTATAGACTAGACTATAGACTAGACTATAGACTAGACTATAGACTAGACTATAGACTAGACTATAGACTAGACTATAGACTAGACTATAGACTAGACTATAGACTAGACTATAGACTAGACTATAGACTAGACTATAGACTAGACTAGACTAGACTATAGACTAGACTATAGACTAGACTATAGACTAGACTATAGACTAGACTATAGACTAGACTATAGACTAGACTATAGACTAGACTATAGACTAGACTATAGACTAGACTAGACTATAGACTAGACTATAGACTAGACTATAGACTAGACTAGAGACTAGACTATAGACTAGACTATAGACTAGACTATAGACTAGATTATAGACTAAGACTGATAGAACTAGATTATAGACTAGACTATAGACTAGATTATAGACTAGACTATAGACTAGACTATAAACTAGACTGTATACTAGACTATAGACTAGACTATAGACTAGACTATAGACTAGATTATAGACTAGACTATAGACTAGACTATAACTAGACTATAGACTAGACTATAGACCTAGACTATAGACTAGACTATAGACTAGACTATAGACTAGACTATAGACTAGATTATAGACTAGACTATAGACTAGACTATAGACTAGGAACGACTAGACTATAGACTAGACTATAGACTAGACTATAGACTAGACTAGAGACTAGCTATAGACTAGCTAGACTAGACTATAGACTAGACTAGACTTAGACTATAGACTAGACTATAGACTAGACTATAGACTAGGACTATAGACTAGACTATAGACTAGACTATAGACTAGACTATAGACTAGTATAGGCATAGCCTAGACTATAGACTAGACTATAGACTAGACTAAGAATAGGACTATAGACTAGACTATAGCAAGACTATACCCGACTAGACTACTAGACTAGACTATAGATAGCCTATACGACTAGACTATAGACTATAGACTAGCACTATAGACTAGACTATAGACTAGACTATAGACTAGGACTATAGACTAGACTATAGACTAGACTAAGACTACGACTATAGACTAGACTATAGACTAGACTATAGGACTAGACTATAGACTAGACTATAGACTAGACTATAGACTAGACTATAGACTAGACTATAGACTAGACTATAGACTAGACTATTAGACTAGACTATAGAACTCGACTATAGACTAGACTATAGACTAGACTATAGACTAGACTATAGACTAGACTATAGACTAGACTATAGACTAGACTATAGACTAGACTATAGACTAGACTATAGACTAGACTATAGACTAGACTATAGACTAGACTATAGACTAGACTATAGACTAGACTATAGACTAGACTATAGACTAGACTATAGACTAGACTATAGACTAGACTATAGACTAGACTATAGACTAGACTATAGACTAGACTATAGACTAGACTATAGACTAGACTATAGACTAGACTAGACTACTATAGACTAGACTATAGACTAGACTAGACTATAGACTAGACTATAGACTAGACTATAGGCTAGACTATAGACTAGACTATAGGCTAGACAATAGACTAGACTATAGGCTAGACTATAGACTAGACTATAGCCTAGACTATAGCCTAGACTATAGACTAGACTATAGCCTAGACTATAGCCTAGACTATAGACTAGACTATAGCCTAGACTATAGCCCAGACTATAGCCTAGACTATACACTAGACTAGGCTATAGACTAGATAATAGACTAGATAATAGACTAGACTATAGGCTAGACTATGGACTAGACTATAGCTAGTCTATAGACTAGACTATAAACTAGAATATAGACTAGACTTTAGATTAGACTATAGACTAGACTGTAAACTAGACCATAGACTAGACTATAAACTAGACTATAAACTAGACCATAGACTAGACTATAAACTAGACTATAGACTAGATTATAAACTAGACTATAGCCCAGACTATAGACTAGACTATAGCCTAGACTATAGCCCAGACTATAGACTAGACTATAGACTAGACTATAGCCCAGACTATAGACTAGACTATAGACTAGACTATAGACTAGACTATAGACTAGACTATAGATTAGACTAAAGACTAGACTATAGACTAGACTATAGACTAGACTATAGACTAGACTATAGACTAGACTATAGACTAGACTATAGACTAGACTATAGACTAGACTATAGACTAGACTATAGACTAGACTATAGACTAGACTATAGACTAGACTATAGACTAGACTATAGACTAGACTATAGACTAGACTATAGACTAGACTATAGACTAGACTAATAGACTAGACTATAGACTAGACTATAGACTAGACTATAGACTAGACTATAGACTAGACTATAGACTAGACTATAGACTAGACTATAGACTAGACTATAGACTAGACTATAGACTAGACTAGACTATAGACTAGACTATAGACTAGACTATAGACTACACTATAGACTACACTATAGACTAGACTATAGACTAGACTATAAACTAGACTATAGACTAGACTATAGACTAGACTATAGACTAGACTATAGACTAGACTATAGACTAGACTATAGACTAGACTATAGACTAGACTATAGACTACACTATAGACTACACTATAGACTACACTATAGACTACACTATAGACTAGACTATAGACTAGACTATAGACTAGACTATAAACTAGACTATAGACTAGACTATAGACTAGACTATAGACTGGACTATAGACTAGACTATAGACTAGACTATAGACTATACTATAGATTAGACTGTATATTAGATTATAGACTAGACTATAGACTAGACTATAGATTAGACTATAGATTAGTCTATATATTAGATTATAGACTAGACTATAGACTTTTTTGGCAATCGCCATTTCAAAAACGTCAGATTTGAGGGAAAAA